CGGTGCGGTGCGGTGCGGTGCTTGCTTGAAGGTCATATACTGATGTCGACAGCTTTTGGCACATCATAGGTTCACATTTATATGATGGATATAAGCTGCATATTACGTTAAATGAGACTATTAATCTAAAAACATGGATCGATTGATTGATATTATTCTTGTGTTTTATTACCCAGCATGCCACTGGCGCGCAGTTTGTCGGTCACCTCCCTGTCCGGCCTGGAGGAATGGGATGAAGAGTTTGATCGGGAGGATGCAGTCCTGTTCGAGATCGCATGGGAGGTCGCTAATAAAGGTGTGTATGTTTCTTTTCTTGGATATGATGTTTCAATGCTAATGTATCATTGTACACATTTACACGTATATCTTCAAAGATCTACACTAAAATTCAAGTTTAGGGCTGGTAAGATTTTTTTTATGTTTGTGAAAGAAGTCTCTTATGCTCAACAAGGCTGCATTTATCTGATTAAAAATAGTACTATTGGGAAATGTCATTACAATTTAAAATAACTGGTTTCTGTTTTAATGTATTTTAACATGTAATTTATTCCTGTGATGCAAAGCTGAATTTTCAGCATCGTGACTGCAGTCTTCAGTGTCACATGAACCTTCAGAAATCATTCTGATTTGCTGCTCAAGAAACATTCATTATTATTGTCAGTGTTAACTTAGATTTGTTAATTAGATTAGATTTAATGTCAATTTAGATAAAAAAAAAAAAAAGGATTCTTTGATAAATAGAAAGTTCAGCATTTATTTGAAATGGATATCTTTTCTAACATTATAAATGCCTTTGCTGTCACTTTTGATCCATTTAATGTTCTTCTGCTGAATAAAAGAATAAAAGTATTAATTTGAACTTTTGAGCAGTATTGTACATTTAGTTTTAAGATATTTATCGCATTGCTCCATTGACATATCATGAGTGCACATTAACAAAAAAGTGCTAAAGTATATATATACTATAGTTCCCTTTCATGGGAACTTCGAACTGCGTCCTCTAGGGGTCGCTATGGGGGGACGCCTCATCGTGACCCGTGTCTGAAGCATACATTGAAAAAACACCAACTCGTTGGCCGGCGACAGCCATGACGTCACTAC